AAAAAAAGTATTCTCTGTCTTGACAGGTGAAAGATTTTGAGTCAGGTAAAATCAACCCATACATTGCAGACTACACCCTCACTCTACTCAAGAATGTTTCATACACAACAACCCCCATCTATGGTGGGGACATCATGATGGTCTACCGTTTCACTAACGTCACACTCAGCTATAAGATCTCTCAGACAGGACTCAGCCTGATCAGTCAGCAGTATAGTGACTTTGTTCAGGTAAGGATGCCTCTGTGACATTTGAAATTCTTAATATTCATTTCTTCTCTTTTGTTTGAACAACTAAAACGTGCTTAGATTTCAGCATGTTCAATTTTAATTATTGAATCTCAGATTGCTTACTGAAAACTTGGGAAAAAAATCTTGAAAAATTATACTAAAAATATCCTTTCAAAAATGCTTTAAAATGTGTTGTACCACTTCACTTAGATAATGGCATGTGTTGTATCACTTCACTTAGATAATGGCATGTATACTGTAGCACTTTTGCTGTAGGTCATGACATCTGATTAAAGTCTTTATTGTCTAGGAATAAATGGCTGTACACATGGAATGTGCAAGAATTTGTGTGCATCACTTGTAATCAATATTCATTGCTGAGTATAATTTCATGGTTTCCATATTTAAATTTAATTTCAATCTACTTAAAAATCTTGAACCTTCTTTAATTAAAATTCATTTTTCTCTGTCAGAAACTTTTGGTAGTGCTGAGTAACGTGACAGATGAAAAGTACTCTCGCTACTGGCAGCAGTTTGGCAAGCTGACAGGAGGCGCCACTCATCTTATGAATTTTTTTGAGAAATTTGTGGCCAAGACTGTGGAACTGTTACCCAAGCCCAGTCAGGAACATTTGAAGCTGTGTCTGATGATATAGGTAAGATCATGTGCATCTTTTTCAATCATTTTCACCTTCTATAGGCAGCAAAGTTGATGTCATTAGATTTTTTAAAGTGATCAATTTGAAACAGCCTTAGCAGCAGATAGAAAATACGTAATTTAAAACTTTTGTTTTTAAAAAATTACAAATACTGAGCAACCCTAGGAAAATTAAAATTGATCATTATTCACCAAATCTCTGATTTATTTATCATTTCAGTTCTTGGAGCTGATTGGTTGAATCTGCACAATTTTAGTGGGGCAACAATACCCAAATATGACAACAATGTGAAAAAGGGCTCAATAGACAAGGAGGCTTCAGTGACATTTCCACCAAGTTTGTTCTCACTTCCTGTTACAAGTAAGTAATTTATAACTTGATGTGAGTCACCCCGTTCTCCACCCCCTGCTAGAGGTATCCAAAGCCTACTTTGGTTATATAATATAATAATTATATGACTCTATTGTTCCAGGTGTTGGGCATGCCTCAAGCTTGGAGATATCCAAAGCCTACTTTGGTTATGTAGTGTACAGAGACCTTGGCAAACATGTCAGCATGAACACAGATGACACCATACGGTAGTTTAAACTTTGATATATTTTACTTTTATTATCAGGATTTTTACAAATAAATTCTACGTTTATTTGTCACATAATGTGCTACCACCATAAAACTTTGATGGTGAAACTAGTAATATTTTGTAATGGGATTAGTCTTGCTACATTAAGGTGACTGACAAAGTCCCCCTCAAACAATGGCACAGCCTATTGATCCATTCTTGTTTAAGTAATCAAATATTTTCATTATCTATAATTAATGTATTGTTGTTCTTGAAAGTTGAAATCACTTTTACATTGAGATGAACTCTTGCCAATGTTTCTAAAAGTTAACTTAAGTGAGAGGCTGCAAGCAGCTCAAGACTTTTAAGTTAATATAAAATGACAACTTGCAGTGTAGTTTCTTTTTTTCTTCAAAAATATTCTGACCTATGAAGAATCTCTGTGAGATATCTGTGAATGTTTTTCAAATCCTAACATTTTCTTTAACAAATTATTAATTTATTGTGGATTGAAATGACATGATTGTGTAATTCATTGTCATTATTATCTTTGTCAGTCGCACAGGCAGACCCATGACAGTAAATGGCCTGATCTTCTCATTGTTGTTGCTGACAAGGAGAACATAACCCGTGGCTATATTGCTGATCCCGTCATTCTGACCTTGAGACTTCGACTGCCCAATAATAGGACCAACATGTATTGTGCTCGATGGGCCCCTAGTGCATCAGATGAAACGTAAGAAAACTTGTTAATCCACTGAACCCCAAACCCCAGTTGTACTGATGAGACCCTGTAATGGCCAGAACAGCCCACTGGACTTCTCTTTACAAGTTGTCTATAAAAAATGAAAATCTTATGAGAAACGAGACCAAGGGAGATTACTTTTTTTTTTTTTGGTGTTGTTTTTATAGATTGGCAGAGTGTTTATTATTTTAATAGCAGATTTATTTATTTTCTATTTTGATTCATGAGATTGTGAACGAAAATTAATTTATTTCATAGATGCAAAATTGATCTATTTAAAATAAATTCTAAATATATTTATAGTATAGGTGGAATTATCCCCGTTTATCTGGGGTTTCAAATCAAAAATATTCTGAGCGCCCAAAATTGCATGGGTTAGATCTAAGTACCAAGTGTGCTTCCTAGTACATCTGTCAGATGAAATTTAAGACTTGTTCTAAATGTAAGTGACACAAACTATTCCGTTACATTTATATTCTGGCTGACCAAAAAATATATTATATTAGATTATTCCTAAATCTGTGTCTAGCATAAGTAAATGTAGATATATACAACCTGACTTTTATGTTAAAACATCAGACATAATAATATATTTGGAGGAAATATGTTCTAATTTTGTTTTTTTTCATTCTAAGATACTTAACAAAAACATAAGTCGGCAAAGAAACTTAAGTGGCTCAAAATGTTTTAGCATGTCTGTTTTACTTCTTTGATGGCTTTGTAAATGTGTTTATCCTACCAGGTCTTAAGGTACGTTCTAACAGCAGATTTGTTACAGCCACAAATATGACACAGACATTCCATGGGGGTATTCTCACTGAGCAGGCACAACTGTAACATCTGATGTGGAACTTTTGATACAATTTTAATATATTCGCTACTATCAGCAACCTGCGGCTGTATGAGTCTCTTTAAATGAATGAATTCTGATTTTTTTCTTTTTCTTTAAAATATGAATTTTACCAGTAGCAACATACATTTTAAAAAAATCTTTAATTAACTCCATATTTTTTAAAGAGGACATTTTTCCTCTGAGGTCTTCTCTTGTCTGGCCCACTCCAATGAAATCAAACATGTCATTTATTTCACAAATTTTAATATTCGGACTATAAAATACGGCTATCATCAAATACAGCTAATAATTAGAATTTGTTAACAAGTCAGCTTATGTTAAATTCATCAAGTTAGTTTTGTGACCACTCCCTTTTCCACCAGTTGCTATGCTACTAACCTGTCAGCTGATAATGCATGAGCATTGATCAAAATATGACGGGATTGTTTTTGTTAATTGCCGGCCAACAGTTAATATACTGCAACACTCGACAAACCCGTGAAAATGAAATTTGGTAGGTCTGTTTTTGTTGCAACAAGTAGCATGTGATCACAGAAAATTGAGAATCCAAGTTACAAAAAGTAACAAATCCGCAGTGTGAAAGTACCTTTAAATGTGTCTATAATTTTCCTTCTCCAGTTCTGGGACATGGACTGCGGCAGGTTGTAGGGTGAGAAACACAAGTTGTCGAATCACCGTCACCTCTGAACACTGTGAGGAATTTTATGTTACCTGTGAATGTAACCACCTGTCAACCTATGCTGTCATCATTGATATAGCTGATGGAACGGTAAGATTTTGTTACATTAACTGTCAAAAATGTCTTGTAACATTAATGAAGTTCCATGAAAAAAAAAATGCTAAAAAACAAACAAAATAAACAGGGAATAATTGAATCCTTGAGGAATAAAACACACGTCAAAAGGGAGGCAATACTACTTTTGATAATTTTAATCAGGAATAATAAAAAAAAGTAAATCTAAACATTTTCTAAATACATGTGCTCACAAAGGGCAACTATTTAAAAAAAATTGATTTTATCAAAAGGAATCATTTCCTTTGCGGACACTGTGTACACACGTTTGGTAGTGATATCTTGTGGGCACAACGTATGTACAAACATGTGGTATTCATAATGTTATATATTCCTGTAGGCCTTACTTCCTGCTATCACTGATATGGAGGCTGTGACCTATGTGCTGACCACTTTTTCATTGATGCTGATGTTGCTCTCATTCTTTGTCCTCTTCACATTCAAACGCCTGCAATGTAACTGGAACAGCATTCGCATCAACCTCATCTTCACCATCTTCATTGTAGACTTGGCTTATGTGATTGGAATCAATAAAACATCTCCAAAGGTAAGTTTTCACCTGCCGACCGTATCGTCTAAAGTTATAAAACATTTACTTAATATGAGTCCAGTCGTAGGAGTTCTGCTGCACTGAGTTGTTCTTTATAAACTATTCTATCTCCTTCCAAATGGAAAACTTTAACTTTATCTAAAACCTTTTTTACCTTTAAAAATATGTCAGTAAATTATCAAATGACAAGAACTCTTCCATAACATGACATTAAGTTGACCGTTGATGACCTTATCTGTGTGTCTCCAGCTGTTCTGCAGGCTGATTGCCATAGCCCTGCACTACTTCTACATGGCTTGCTTTGCCTGGCTGTTCATAGAGATGCTGCACATCTATCGCATGCTCACAGAGAAACAAACAATCAACTACGGATCTATGAAGTTCTACTACTTGCTGGGCTACGGTAGGTTATTTACTGCTGACTTCTATCCCCATCGGTCTTGGATAAGTTTGATTGATTTATTTCTTAAGTAATCAGTCAAGCCAAAATGTTGTTGATTTTTCTATTAATTGGTTTCTGAGATCACAAAAAAATATTACCCCCACTGAGATGCTAAATGGCTTGGAACGCTCCATTTTGCATGTTATAGAAATAATTGTAACTTTCCACATTTCAGGTTTCATTTATTTATATTTATATGAAGTTAAAGTTTACTGGTAAACAATTCCAGTCCTTGTATTTGAATAATGGAGAAATCAATTAATACTTGACAATGGTTGTTCCAGTTCTACCAGGCATTGTGGTTGGACTGGCCGTTGGACTGTACACAGATGCAAATGGCAATGCCAGTTTGTAAGTCTCTTTTAATCAGCTTAAAAGTTTGAAGCATAAGGGAATCAAATGGCGGTGTTCTGACAATTGATATTCTACACTAATTAAAGTATTCATTATTTTTGTAGCAGGTATTATGATATTATGTAATCTGATGTCCATGTTGGTACCAGATTCTGAAAGTAATTTAATCCCTTGTTCAACTGTTTGCTGTTCCAGTTGTTGGCTTGTTACCTCAGAGACATTTATATGGAGCTTTGCTGGACCAATAGCCTTTGTTATAGTGGTGAGTTATCAGCTTGAGTACACTCTGTCTTAAAGACCACATTTACAATACATCAAACCAATAGCTTTTGTTATAGTGGTGAGTTATCAGCTTGGGTACACTCTGTCTTAAAGACCATATTTACAATACATCAAACCAACAGCTTTTGTTACAGTGGTGAGTTATCAGCTTGGGTAAACTCTTTCTCAAAGACCACATTTACAAGACATCAAAACAATAGCTTTTGTTATAGTGGTGAGTTATCAGCTTGGGTAAACTCTGTCTTAAAGACCACATTTACAAGACATCAAAACAATAGCTTTTGTTATAGTGGTGAGTTATCAGCTTGGGTAAACTCTGTCTTAAAGACCACATTTACAAGACATCAAACCAATAAACTTTAAATATAATAACTTTACATGACATTATACATTTTTCTGTTTATTTATTCCACTGATCTATAATTTGGAACAAATAAATTGATAGATTTGACCATAAATTAAACCAATATTTAACTGGGATAACAATTTATGTATTTTTCTCCAGATCAATGTATTCACATTTATATTTACTGCAAAGGCAAGTTGTGCAGAGAAGATTCCAATCTCAGATGTTACTGTTGTAAGGTTGGTATTGGAAGTGTTTAAACTTTTTAGTTCGCTATTCACAAATGGGCGGACCATTCTCAAACAGGAGATCGAGCTCAAGGTGGGCGATATAGCGCTCAAGTGGGACAAGCAACCGGTTTACCTGGGAGTTAAGCTGGACCAAAAGGTACAAATGTATAATTTTGTACAGGACCTCTGCTCCTAGGCAACTGCCAAGCTCAACCTGGTGAAAAAACTGGCTTGCACAAGTTGGGGCGCGGGCGCAAGTACGCTTAGAGCTCTTTTCCTAAGCAGTGTAAGGTCAGTGATGGATTACAGCATGCCGGTCCAATCCTTTGCAAGCAAGACCGCACTGGAAAAACTGGGACGAATCCAGAATCAGGCTCTGAGATTCATCTGTGGCGCTTACAGGACTACTCCCACAGCTGCTGTAGAGGTCTTGGCCAATGTAGAACCGTTACAAATTAGGAGGGAAAAGTCAATATAAGTACCATAGAGAGGTTTCGGTGGCTCAACGAAAACGAACCAGCCTTCCAAATGCAGAATAACTGGGTGGGTGGCAGGAGACTAAAGAGGTCCTCTTTCATGCACCAGGTCGTGGAGCTGGAAAGGACAGTCACCTAGCCCCCAAATAGAGAACGTCTGACCTTAATCCCAGTTAATCCGCCATAAGCGGAGCCCTCACGTACCTCTATATATTTGGCCTTGACTGATGCAGCAGTGACGAAACGCAGCCCTGAACATGTTCAGAAAGCGGCTGCCCTTGAGACCATAGATGTGTTCTCACACATACCAGTGAAAGTGTTCACGGACGGCTCTGCCAACCTGAGAGAAAGAACTGCTGGGTACTGTGCGCTCATACTGTATCCAGTGGGAGGACCACCCATTGAAGAACTCTCGAGGCCTTGTGAGACTGCAGCGTCAAATTTTGATGCGGAGCTTATAGCTGTGCACATGGCCTTGGAGAAAGTCCACAACACTTTGAAAGGGACGGAACATACGGGGCTTGATGTAGTTGTTTACTCAGACTCAAGATCTGCTCTTGAGATCTTGGGGAAGAGACAGGGTACCACATACTTGGTCAACGTCATTACCAACGACTTATGCAAACTTGGTGAACTAGGGTGCAAGATTACAATACAGTGGATACCAGGGCACGTCAACATCAGTGGCAATGAGAGAGCGGACACTCTGGCGAAAACTAAGGCTGCCCAGCCTCAGCCAGAAGTACCAATGACTTTCTTGGGAATTAAAAACTGACTTGCGGACCACTTCAGGCAGAAGTGGTACAGGCAATGGGTTTTAGTTTTGATCCTTTATAATTCTAAGCGTGCTTGTCAATTTTAGTTTTGATCCTTTATAATTCTAAGCGTGCTCGTCAATTTTAGTTTTGATCCTTTATAATTCTAAGCGTGCTTGTCAATTTTAGTTTTGATCCTTTATAATTCTAAGCGTGCTCGTCAATTTTAGTTTTGATCCTTTATAATTCTAAGCGTGCTTGTCAATTTTAGTTTTGATCCTTTATAATTCTAAGCGTGCTCGTCAATTTTAGTTTTGATCCTTTATAATTCTAAGCGTGCTTGTCAATTTTAGTTTTGATCCTTTATAATTCTAAGCGTGCTTGTCAATTTTAGTTTTGATCCTTTATAATTCTAAGCGTGCTCGTCAATTTTAGTTTTGATCATCATGTATTTTTTTAAAAAATGACAAAGTCAATAATGGCTGATTTCCTCCAGGTATGGACTGCTGTCTGCCATTTTTCTTCTGTTCCTTTTGAGTGTTACCTGGATCCTAGGACTACTCTCTGTAAACTTTGGAGTGCTGGCCCTTCACTACATACATGCCATTTGTATTGTCTTTNCCAGGTATGGACTGCTGTCTGCCATTTTTCTTCTGTTCCTTTTGAGTGTTACCTGGATCCTAGGACTACTCTCTGTAAACTTTGGAGTGCTGGCCCTTCACTACATACATGCCATTTGTATTGTCTTTGAGGGTTTTTTCATTTTCCTAGTGTACATTCTCTTCGACAAGAAGGTGAGAGTTTAACCAATGACTTTATTGTAACCGTTTTAATGGAACCATCTCTGTAAATAAGTTAAGGAGGCCAGGTTGTGTGAGATACTCTTACTATGTTTAGCACTGCATGTCACACCATTATAGCAGTTGCTTAGTCTTCATCTGGACACATAGTCTGTGAATTACTGTTACATCAGAACTTATTATCTAAGCCAGTGGTCAGCAAAGTCATTAGTCAAAAGAGCCAAAAATCAGCAGCAGGATGATTAAACAATTTTTCAGGAGCCAAATTTCTTTTCAAGAACCATGTTTTTCAGAGTCAAACCAATGTGTTGCCGACTGACTAAGCCACAATCAGGTTGTTAAAGAGCTCCAAAAATCAGCAGCAGGATGATTAAACAATTTTTCAGGAGCCAAATTTCTTTTCAAGAACCATGTTTTTCAGAGTCAAACCAATGTGTTGCCGACTGACTAAGCCACAATCAGGTTGTTAAAGAGCTGCATCCGGCTCGCGTGCCGCGATTTGCCGACCACTGCGCTACTCTAAATAATTAAATGAAAAAATCTCTTGTGATCTTCATCTCTCCAACTTTCAGGTCCGTTTGTGTGCCAAGAGGTTCTATTATCGGCTCAAGGGGGAAAATTAAATTATGCACTATTAGTTTAGACCTGTTTTGCTTAATTCTAGATTTAGTTTATTTGATGGTTTTGTTCAAACTAAAATGTCTCAGATGTGCTTGGATTTTGTTACTTTGGCTCTTTACTTACAATTATTAGGTGGTCCACCAAACATATTTTTGTGCTAGGACCTAAAATACGGGGAGATGGAGAGAACGTTGGAGGTGGAGAGGATGGTGGAGGTGGAGAGGACGGTGGAGGTGGAGAGGACTAGAAAGGCATTGAAATTTTCATAAATTTAGTTTTCGTCATCCTTCCACTATTTTTTTTTCAGTTGTTCAATGATCTGTACTTATATGTACATTGAAGTTTTCCAAATAGCTATTGTCAATTTTGTGTGTTATATTTCAGAGGTCAGCCCTGGCTTATAGACATGACTCATCTAAAGAAGGGAGTGTTCACATCAATAACATAGGCATCTCTACCACATCCACCACTTCACAGTCCAGTAAGAGCAGTCGTGGGGTTAAGGCTGACAAATACTGCAGAGTACAAGCAGTTCCACATCAGATGGCCCTGGTGTTAAAGATATACCTTACTGATTTGAGTTACCGTTTAAAGAAAAACTCAAATCAGGTCAGATATTCCTGCTTGTGGTAAACTAGATCTGATATATCAGATGTCAGATATTCCTGCTTGTGGTAAACTAGATCTGATATATCAGATGTCAGATATTCCTGCTTGTGGTGAACTAGATTTGATATATCAGATGTCAGATATTCCTGCTTGTGGTAAACTAGATTTGATATATCAGATGTCAGATATTCCTGTTTGTGGTAAACTAGATCTGATATATCAGATGTCAGATATTCCTGCTTGTGGTAAACTAGATCTGATATATCAGATGTCAGATATTCCTGCTTGTGGTAAACTAGATCTGATATATCAGATGTTAGATATTCCTGCTTTTGGTAAACTAGATCTGATATATCAGATTTCAGATATTCCTGCTTAAACTAGATCTTATAAATCTACATGCGTGGTAAACTAGGTTATGTATCTATACTGAAATAACTTGCCAAACAATGGTGGCTGCTATGCTTGAACTTTCCATCCACTAAAGTCACTTGAGAAAACATACATTCAAGTAACGCCCTTTATAATAATTCCAATTAGCGCTAGCTTCTGGGAATATTATTTTGCACACCTATTGAATCACAAACTGACATACAGATATTATTATTTGTGATGTGTGGTAAACTAGGTTATTTGAATAAGACTTTACAAACATGATGACACTATTTTATTTTTAATAAATTCTTTAATCTCATGTCTTTTCAAAACAATAGTGGTCACTTGTTGTTGGCATATTGTAATTGTAAAAATTATTGTATTAAAATTTTGTGATATTGTTCTTTTAAGGGAAATTAGTTTTCAAATAAAAACCATTCTGTTGACTTATGTATCTTTCTTTATGTATTTATACATACATATATATATATATATACACATATATTTATGATGTTTGAAAATCTGGGTCAAAATCTGCTTCCAGATCTAGATGGTGACAAAGATGGTAATGATTCTGACTCTGACAGTGATGCCAGCATGGACAGAAACAGTCTGGAGTTGGCATCCAGTCATTCCTCAGATGAAGATGACGAGTTTGACCTTGGACCTCGGTGGGAGAACCAAGTACCAAAAAGTAAAGCAGTTTGTGAGTTTCAGCATATGTTAGCACCTTTTTGTTCCACAGAGT